GAGCATATACCGCACCTTTGATGTTACCGACTCTAGATGGATAGGACGCACCAGCACGGACGTGCCTGTGCTACCACGGATGAGACCTTTCCCACGGTGCGTGGTACGGGCTGGTCCGCTTACGTCCGCAATATCGCCGACCGTGGGAAGCCGCTATGAGCGATATCCAGATTATCCAGAGCAACCGAACAAAAGAATATTTCAAAATGTAATGTATAGATGAAATCGAAATGGTTCAGTGTTATATGATACTAAAGAAAAAATAAAAATGGTTACAGATTACAGGTTACAGAGATAAAATCAGAAGAAACCAAATATTTTACTGGACGTTACTGAGCAGCCGAAACTTAAACCAACTTGAAAGATTCCGAAATTATTTAATAGAACAAGACGGATATATTCAAAAAATTCTTTTGAGACACCACATGCACTCCAACCACATCCAGCGACTCCAAAAATTGACTGCGAATGATTTTAAAATAAGGATAGCTTTATGTGAATGGTCACAACAAAAAATAATTGTACAAAGAAATTTTTTAGCATACATAACTTTCATTATTACTCCACAACAAATCTTGTGTTATCTTTATGTTAAACGTTATATTATCTTTTGGAGTACTTATGCAATAGGCCTTGTAATAGGCCTGGGGAATCAGTAAACGGAGAAGTTTGTCCGTAATCCATCAACAACGATTGTATTTACGTGACGGAGCTTCTTCTCATAACGCACTTATCCAAGGTGAATGAATGAGTAATTCCATAACAGATGGATAAGAAGGGAAAGAGCAATTCATGGGCCAGTTAAATAACCAGAATTAAGTAAAGACGACTGTTTCTAGGGCTATATTAAAGATCTCAGAGTTCTCCCCAAAAGAGATGGTAAAGACGTACCGTGGACCTTTAACAACAATTGATTACATGAAAATCTTGTTCTTCTTCTTTCTTTTTGTATGTACGCTTTAAAGTCTGTTTCTTCTTCAATATTGGCCTTTTAATTGTTTGGATTTTGAGATTCTAAGAAATTTAAATTTAAAGAAATTAGAAGACGCATTGAAATAGCAAGATCTGGTTTTATGAGTATGCGTAAAATGCTCTGTAACCCCAAGCTATCAGTCTCAAGAAGATTGAGAACACTAACGTGTTATGTGTGGATGACATCAACAAACTAAATTCATTGGCAATGTGGATGTACCGCCGAATGTTAAGAATAAGCCAGCAGAACTAGGAATGAAGAAGTACTGAGAGTAATGAACATACGCCCTCATCTGGTCAATACTATCAAAATTAGAAAGACATATCTAGGACACATAATGTGCCATAGGGAATTTAAGCAGCTCCAGGTAATATTAGAAGGCAAGATTGAAGGTAAAAGGGGCATAGGAGAAAAGAAAAAATCTTGGCTACGAAGCATCAAAGATTGGACCCACACAAGAGGAAATGAATTATTTCATCAAGTCCAGAACAGAGAGAAATTTTCCATATTGATCGAAAACCTCAACAGAGAAGGCACTTAGAAGGAGGAGGAAATTGTTTAAATTATCGCACCATCTTTTTCTTGGTCTGCCAATACTTCTTTGTCCATTTGGTGACTTATCTCGTGCTATTCTTACTATCCTATCTTCTGCCATTCTACTAATGTGTTCGTTCCACTCCTGTTTCTATTTTGTCACCCATACACTTATGTCTATATTGCATGCTCTTCTCATGTTTTCGCTTCTCTCCCTATCCAACAGACTTTTCCCTGATATTCGTCAGAGTATTTTCATCTCTGTTGTCTCTAGTAATAGTATCGTTTTAGATGTGTCAGGTCTTATCGCCGTTGTGTATGTTAATATAGGTCTAATTGATGCTTTATAGATACTTGTTTTTGTGTCTTGTCTTAGGTGTTTGTTCTTCCAAATTGTGTCATTAAGAGATTCTTACGCTTTACTTGCTTTTAAGCTTGGTTGTCGTACTTCTTCAACATCTCCGTTATATCTCCCATATAACTAGTTATATATATTCCCAGATATCTAAACCTTGCTGCCTGCTTTAGTATTTTCCCATCCATTTTCTATTTTACACCGTAGTGGGTATTTAGATGTTGTCATCATCATCATCACTGGCTCGACAACCTTTTTTGGGTCTTGGCCTGTTCAAGGATTCTTCTCCATTCTGACCTGTTTCGTGCTTTTTTTTCCAGTTTTTAATTTTTAATGTTGTTATATCATTTTCTATTTGTTCTATGTATCTCAGCTTCGGTCTTCCTCTTGTTCTTTTTCCTACTGGCACTTGTTTGAATATTTTGTTTGGTATTTCGCCTTCTTCCATTCTTTCCACATGTCCAATCCAACGTAGCCTTCCTATTTTAATGAATGTTATGATATCCGGATCCTGGTATATGTTGTATAGTTCAAAGTTATACCTTCTCCGCCAAATCCCGTTTTGTTTTGTGCCCTTATATATGTGTCGCAAGATTTTTCTTTCAAAGGTGGCTAATAACGTTTCCTCCCTTTTAGAGAGTGTCCAGGTTTCTGAACCGTATGTGAGTACCGGTCTTATTAAGGTTTTGTATATTTGGCATTTTGTTTTTCTGGAGACGTTATCTAATATTAGTTGCCTAATTAAGCCATGGTAACATTTATTGGCAATAAATATTCTCCTCTTCACTTCCTCTGCAACGTTGTTATCAGACGTAACTAGGGATCCTAAGTATATAAAGTTTTTTACCGCCTCAATGTTGTATTCTCCTATTGTTAAATTTGGCAGCTGCCTTATTTGTGCGTTTTTATTTGCAGGCATATATTTTGTTTTTGTCTGATTGATTTTAAGATTACTATTTTTTGCAGCTCGTTCTATTTGAGTGAATGCCTCTATCATTTCTCTTCTTGATCTTGCGATTATGTCAACATCATCTGCAAATGCTAGTACTTGCACGCTTTTATTAATTATTGTTCCTCGGGTATTAACTGTTATGTCTCTTATTGTTATTAGATGTTGTCATACATTTGGTTTTTTTGCTGATATTATTATATTTTGTTTCTTGGCTGTTGTATTGAAGATGTTTGTTAATCTTTGAAGCTTCTTCTGTCTCGGCGATTAATGCGGCGTCGTCTGCGTAACATAATATTTGGATTTCTTTATTCTTCATTCTGTGGCCATGTCCTTTACGTACTGCTTGTATTATTTCATCCATTACTATATTAAAGAGATGTGGGCTTAACGAGTCATCCTGTCTGACTCCGCTTCGTACTGGTATACACTGTGTTAGTTTTCCATTAATCTTTGCCTGTATTCGATTATAAAAGTAGCTGTTTTCGATAGTTTGTATAATATTGATTGGTATGTTTCGGTTATGCAGTATGTGTAAGACTTCTTAGACTTGGATGCGATCGAATGCCTTTGTCAGGTCTATAAAACATATATATGCTGGTTTATTGTACTTGATGGCCTTTTCTGCGGTTTGTCTTAGTACAAATACGGCGTCTAAGTAGGATCTTCCAGATGTGAATCCTTGTTGTTTATCTGATAAAGTTGTTAGTTTATTGACTTTGTTGGTTAGGACTTTTGTGGTAAGCCTAAGTGCGGTCTTCAGTCGATTTATGTCTCTATAATTGGTGGGGCCTTCTTTATCTCCTTTCTTGAACAGTGGTATCATTATGGTTTTGTATAAGTTTTGTCATATCTACGGTTATACTTTCTCCTCCATGATTCAGAAGCTCGTTGGTTATTCCGTCTGGTCCTGGTGACTTTCTATTTTTGACTGAATTTATGGCTATTTCTACTTTCTGAACACTGATTTCTATTTTGTGTCTTAATTCAGGTACGTTATTGTGTTGATTATTATTTTCCTTTCCTTTAAACAGTTTTGTCAAGTATCTTGCCTATTCGTTTGTTGATATGTTATTGTAGTCCTTCAATTCTGCCATTTCTTTCCGTTGGTTTCTTGTGAATCTCCATATTTGTTTTTGTGTACCGTAGAAGTCGCTTTCCATCCTTTTTGTAAACTGTTTTCAGTATTTATTTTTTGTTCTTGCCAACTGCTTTGTTTCATTTCGTATTCTTCTATAAGCTTCTCGGGATTCTGAAGTATTTGATGTTTTGTACTTCGTGTAGACCTCTTGTTTCTCTTTACATTTCTCTTTTACTTTTTTCTGAACCATGGTGTATTGTTGTTTCTTTTGTTCAGTATGACTTTGCACTGTATGCTAGAAAATATTGGTTATAGTCCCTTTGGCCTTTACCTTTTTTCTTGATTTCTTAGATTGCACAAATTTCTATGTTTTTATTTATCAGTTCCTCTATTACATGAAGGTAAGAATTAGAAACGCATTTTATAATGCTACTTCACAAATTCTTACAAATGTAAGTTATTTTTCGGTCAGTCGATTCTTCCTCATTTGTGACTCTATCGCGCCTTATTCTTCTGATTCCTTCTCTCTATTCTAATGGTGGTCTTCCTCTCCTTCTTCTATTACATGCAAGATATTTTAAGGGTCTATTTTGGCCATCATAAATCCCTATTATGTTATGTTGTTTTTTGTAAGGTATTTGTAAGCTGTAAAGTAAATAAAAATAATAAATTTAATTTATGAAATACTCCTTTTTCTACTACAATTTAAAATATCTCCAAAAATATTAAGTATAGACAGAGGAAATACTTGGTATAAATTAAACTACATTGACTTTAGTTTATAACGGTGATATAAAATACAGGATGGTGCCTTTATGCTGAGCAAATTATGAATTTGTCTTTTGATTTACAAAGTATTAAATTTAAAGAGTGTTGGAAAATTAATTGTTTTGTGGATGTTGATGATTATTTAAAAAATATGGCTAAAACAGGTCCTATTGCTTTTGTTATTGCATTGCTTTTGTACCGCTTTTCGATTATACAGGGCATTAAACTTGTTGTTGTAGAGCTAATTATAAATTGTTTATATAAGTACTATTTATCTAATAATTACCGAAATACTTAATACGATTTATAGTATAAACTACATTAATAAAGAAGTAAGTACCTGTTCTAAATATCCAATTGAACAATCTGATCTCATAGCAGGCAGCGATCTAACATAATTCATACAATGCACATGCTTTTTAGAATAATACTTATCATCTGAAGAAATTTGAATTGGCATACACAGAGGATGCTTGTATCTTGGAGCTATATCATATCCATATGTATCACAGCACGTAAAGGAATCGTTACGATGAACTGAAATGTAAAGAATATAACTTTTTTGCTAGAGCATTTTTAATTTGTAAAACAAAATAAATCATTTTTAAATTTATTATAAAAATGTTTCCTTGCTTCATCTTGTATTTTAGAGAACATCCATAAAACTACGTCGTAGAAAAGAGGAAGGGGGACTTTGTTTATTACGATGGTATACGACAGGTGGGAGGGGGGCATCGTTTGGTGTATTTCAATTTGTCGCTGTTGTTTCTATAAATGTATTTTTTTCTAGCTTCTACCAGAGGGCGCATTATTTAACGTATTAGATCATCTATCTATATAAAAGGCTATGATGACAAGTCACACCGTTTGTTCAGTACGGTAACTACGCCACCTAGGAAAGAAATCTGAACTACCAACTACCATTTAACATTTTACCCCATATTTTGTTCTCGAAACGATTCGGTTGATTTATTACTAATTCATTCTACAGATTGATGATTCAAATCTTGTTAATCTGAAATTTTACTACTGTTGGAGAACTATAACTCCAAACCAATAATTCTATTTTGTATCAAATAATTCTATTTTCGCGTCGGTTACCTAAATAAATCCAGTCTACCTAGACCTTGTTTCTGAGAATGTTAATCCCCGCCCACAGCGCCTACGTGACGATAGATCGGCTTTTCAAAATGCATAAACAAAAAAATATTCCGGCGGGGCGAGGGAGGCGACCAGTCGACACCTACAGTGATTTAGCGACTTTCGTAGGGCTAACATCTATATTTCAAAAGTTCGGAGAGGATTCTCCACGTTGCAGTTTACGCAATTGACCGGGAAGCCGTAATATGTGAATAAGTGTTATGGTGTTTTCGCTTTCGTTTGCAAATTGTAATATTCAAATTAAGTTCCTACGATAAGTTACACACTCAAATTTTATAAGCTCTATTTCTTGCCCTTTCTTTTTTCAATTACAGTTTCGTTCTAAACAAGTAATTGTTTTATTTTACTATATCAATTCAACAGGCCAGATAAAAGCAACTTTGAAAGTCCATTTTAGTTTCTCTACTGAGCTGTCGAAGGCTAGCGGACTAATTGGGCTTACAGCAAGAACAAAGCCGCTGAAAGAGACACTTTTGCATATAAGCCTCTCCATGGAAGGAATGTTGTAAACCGGTACCCTCCAGTTTGGTCCTTCGAGCCGGATTTTAATCACTTCAAACCGTATTCTGATCCTACTACTTTCTGGCCTAAAAACACTCAATACAAGTTTCTTCTTCATTCTACGCATTCAAAAAGACATTAAAAGTTTCGCGTATTTCGGATATTCTCGTCGATAGACAATAATTTCTCTAAAGAAATTCTCTAAAGTTGGTGGATTCTTTGAAAGTCACAAATGAAAATTTTTCAATTGCTTTAGATATTCTAAAAAACCGCTATCAAAATAAGGTCACGGTCATAAATTCTTATTTAACAGAAATTCTAGACATTCCTACACTGAGAAACAGCTCACCGCAGATTCTCAGAAATTTGCAATTGTAGAAAAAACTACTGTAACAAAAAATATGCAACTGTTGAAAAATTTGCAATTTTCAAGTTCAGAGCTCGTTGATATAATTTTAGTTTTTCTGCTAGAAAGCAAATTAGACTTTTCAACAAGGAGACTTTTTGAAACTGAGCGAAATCATACAGATGTACCAAATTTAGATGCTTTTCTTAAATTTCTAGAAAAAAGGTGCATTGTTCTGGAAAGCCTGGAAAATACAAATCCTAGGCAAACCAAAAACGTAAAAGTTTCACATCATGCAGTAATAACACATCAGAGGATTCGAATAAAAATAATAGTTCAAATAATTTAGTTTCTTACTTTTATTGTATTTACTGCAAAAAACAAGGACATAAAATTTATAAATGTCAATTTTTCAAAAACATTCAGCATAATGACAAGATAAAATTCGTAAATTCAAAAGGTCTCTGCGTAAACTGCATAGGTAGGCATTATTCTAAAAACTGCTCCTCAAAACATGGATGAACCATATGTAAAAAGCGCCATAACACTGTTCTTCACATTTCGGGTAAAGATTATACTTTTTCTACGACCCACAATAATGAAAGTCCTTCAACTTCTACAATTTCAAACAATTACAAACGCGAACATTAGTCTAATTCAAATTTTCAACGTCCTTCGGTTCAAGGGCAAGAACCTCTTACAAATTCATTTTCTGCTTTGTCCGTAAAAAATTAAACATACTTCTAGCTACGGCCAAAGTCACCATTTTCGACAAAAACGGGAACCCTTTAACGGCCCGATTGTTACTCGATACAGGAAGTCAGACTAGCTTTTGTACCCGGTGTCTCGCTGATAGGCTGGGTTATAAGCCAGATGACATTTCTCTAAATATCTCTGGCATAGGCCAAAATAACTATATTTCAAAAAAGATGGTCAACATAAAAATACATTCTAACTTTAATAAGAAATCTTTCAAAATTTCATGTGCTATCTTAGAAAATATTACTTGCAATCTTCCACAGTTCCGCATTCTTACAAAAAAATTACCAATTCCAGGGGACGTTTTTCTAGCTGATGATTCCTTTCACAAACCCAGTCAAATAGACATTTTGGTTGGGGCAGATTTGTACTAAGACCTAATTCTTCCAGAAATAATTCCTCTTGGCCCCAGGCTTCCAATTTTGCAGGCTTCGCACCTGGGGTACCTAATCGCCGGCGTGATAGCTCCTCACTTGACGGCCCCTACAGTAGCAAACAATGTTTCTCATCAACGAACAAAATAAAAGTACAACTTTGCGTGTCGTCATGAATGCTAGTTGTAAAAGCTCTACAGGAAAAAATCTAAACGATATTTCACTAAAAGGCTATCAGGTGCAACCTGATCTATTCGATATTCTAGTTCGTTTCAGGCAATACAAATTCATATTTTCCTTATTCAAAAAATGTTTCGACAGACGTGGATCAACAAAGATCAACGCTTTCTACAAAACATTCTGTGGAGGGACAATCCCCACGATTCTATAAAATGTATTCAACTTAATACTGTTACATACGGGACTAACAGTGCCCCATTTCTTGCGACGAGAGTCTTGCAAGAGATTTCAAATAAAAATAGAATTCAATTCCCATTGGCCTCGCATTTTCTCGAAACCCAATTCTACGTAGATGATGGTTTATGTGGGTCAGATAATATTCAAGAATTGCTCGAACTACTTCAGCAATTAAATTCTGTTCTAAACCGCCATGGTTTTACATTACATATATTTCATTCAAATTCATCCATATTCCTACAACAAATTAATTCAGAATATCCTAAAAATACTATTCAGGAATATGGCCTAAATTTCGATTCTACTTATTTCAAGGTCCTAGGCCTAAAATGGGACCCTGCTGAAGACCAAATAACAATTTCCGTCCCCGAAAATGATTTCTGCCCACCAGTAACAAAAAGAAAAGTTCTGTCTGCATTAGCACAATGTTTCGACCCTCTGGGACTCATAAATCCTTTCATTGTTAAAGGCAAAATGATTATGCAGAAACTCTATCTGCAAAAAATTTCACAGAAATTTCGGACAAAAATATTCTAAACGATTGGAACAAGTTTCTATAGGACTTGTCACAATTAAAAAATTTAAAAATTCCTCGTTTCTACTTTTCTGAAAAAATAATTCTAAAGGTTGAGCTTCATGGATTCTCAGACAGTAGCTTAGCAGCTTATGGCGCATGCGTATATCTGAGAACGTTCTATGCCGATGAGACCATATCCTGTGCATTAGTTTCTTCCAAATCAAGGATAACTCCGTTAAAGACGGTAACACTTCCTAGGCTTGAGCTGTGCGCAATGGTTCTTCTTTCAAAACTTGTTACAAAAGTAATTTCTATCTTTGAAAATCAACCTGTAAAATTTCATTCAGTCACACTCTGGTCAGACTCCCAGGTAGCTCTGTCGTGGTGTAAAAGTCACCCAAGTCGGTGGTCGGTTTTCGTGGCTCACCGGGTAGCACTTGTCCAAGAGTTGACTCAAAACTTTACATGGCTTCACATAAAGTCTGCGCAAAATGCTGCAGATCTTCTTTCTCGAGGAATGTCTGGTTCTGAAATTCTCAATAGCGATTTCTGGTGGCAAGGCCTAAATGCTTACAAGATAAAAATTTCAATGTTTCCAATCTAGCAAATGACAAAGTTCTCGAAAACCTGCCCGAGGAACGAAAAATAAGCCTCGTGGTAAATTCTAACGGAGAAAACTTCTGGATGAGAGTTTTTTCATGTTTTTCAAATATTTCACGCTTAAAACGTACCGTAGCGTACGTATTTCGTTTTATTTCTAATTGTAAAAAACAAAAAATTTCTGAACCTCTTTCTGTGGCGGAGTTAAATTATGCTATCGATTTCATTATCAAGCAAATACAGGATGATGCATTCTCAAGAGAAATTTCGGAGCTTAAAAATAACAAATTTATTTCAAATAAAAACATCGTTTCACTAAAACCATTTGTAGATTCTTCTAATTTTCTTAGAGTTGGAGGCAGACTTACAAACTGCCCCGACATAGACTACTTGCAAAAACATCCGATACTGCTTCCATCCAAAAATCATACCGTCAATCTTATCATCAAAAATGAACATCTCAGATTGGGACATGCTGGTGCTCAAACAGTTCTCTCAAACCTTCGGTTAAAATTCTGGCCTCTCAACGGTCTAAAGGAAGCAAAACGAATTATTCGCAACTGCACCACATGCTTCCGATTTTCGTGCACTCCTGCACAACAGCTAATGGGTAACTTACCTGAAGATAGGTTGTCTATTACAACAAGACCTTTTCAAAAAATAGGTGTAGATTATGGTGGACCCTTTCTGTTAAAATCTTCTTCACTCCGTAAAGCTCCAAAAATCAAGGCATACATAGCCATTTTCGTGTGCATGGTGACCAAAGCTGTGCACATTGAGGTTGTTTCTGATCTAACAACTTCTTCCTTTCTATTAACTCTCAAAAGGTTCATTTCTCGACGTGGTAACCCAACCGTCATTT